GGTCTCGAACTCGTAATGATCCTCCTGCCCCAGCCTCCTGAGTGCTGGGATTACAGGCTTGCGCCCCCACTGCCGGCAAGTGCAAATATCATATATGTACAGTTCCATGAATTTTCAAAGATGTAAATTATTTTTTAAAAGACCCTGGGAAGGATTTTTTCATTCAGCGGATTGATTTAAAGCAAGGTCCACAGGTATTTGAAACAGATGACATCATCTATCAGAGGAGCAGCAGGGAAATTTGGGGCGGAGTCCGGAGCCTTGATGTCATCACACTGCAGCTTCTTTCCCCGCCCACCCCTCCCAACAGCGGAAGTAGACTGCCAAAACAAACCATCAGACCAGGGGAGGCGGGGCCTAAGGGAGGGCCTGTACTTTGGCTAAAAAGAAGCAAAATACCCGGCTGTGGGGGCAGGGCTTCGGGCAAGAACAAGATACACGCATGCGCAGTGACGACCTTCGACCAAGGCCAGGTGGGAGGGGTGGTGGAGGCAGGGTCGCGTGGCGCCCTCTGCGGCTGCGCTGGGGCGGGAGGTGGAGCTGGGCGCTCCTGCACCGTAGGGTTCGCGAGGGGTCGGGGGCAACGATTGTCACCTAGCCGCCGGTGGCGGGATGGCGACGGCCTCCGGGTCCTCGGACTTGGCAGGCTCCGGCGCGCCCCCGCCCGGCGGCGGAGCCCAGGCGGCGGCGGCTGAGGAGGAGGAGCGAGAGGTGGTACGGGTCCGAGTCAAGGTGAGGCCGGAGGCTGATCGACCAACCTGCCCAGACATCCCAGGGGAGAAGGCGATGGCTGACTTATGATGGCGGGCGGGACCTGTGATTTGGGGTGCTACCTGAAGGGTGAGGGCGGAGTGATGGGGGGCTGAGGGTGTAGGTTTTAGGGACAGGTCCTAGTGGAACTGAAAATGGAGTGATGGGGTCCTGTGGAGTGTATGGATCTGTGGGGCTTAGGGTGGAGGGGCGGGGTTGTGGGTTGAAGGAGGGGCTGCAGTGGTGGAGGGGTGGGGCCCTAATGATTGACTGGGGTGCTGTTGCTGCCTAAAAGGAGCGATCTGAAGTCAGCCAACTCATAGGTGTTGAGAATGCACTCTGGTAGGATCCCAGTCTTTGAGCCCGTGTGCTTTTGGGGGCGAGACAAACTGCTAAATAAATGAGATACTTCGAACACTGGTGAATGCCATAAAGAAATGAGGAAAAAGGTTGTGAACTAAGGAGTCATGTTAGCCAAGGTTGACAGGGGAATCCCCAGAGGAAATACTGACAGGGCAAAGACCTGAATAAGCAGTGGTCAGTCATGTGCATGGGTGGGGTGGCGCTAGGCAGACGGACCTGCAAGGGCAAAGGCTGGCGGGTGGGGATGAGCTGGGCATGCTCCGGTAGGTTACCATATTGGTGGAGCAGTGAGAGGGGAAGAGTGGTAGGCGGTGGATCAGAGGTCAGAGCGGGCCGGCTGGCGAGGGGCCTTTGGTGTGTACTCTAAAGAAGAAAGCTGTTGCAGTAGTTCCCGCAAGTGGGGACTGAGTGGTGATATTGGCAGTGATGAGAAGAGGGTAACAGATGACTTCAGTGTAGTAGACTTCTAAGGTAGAGGTTTGCAAATTCAGAAAAAAGATGGTGCCTAGCTGTGAGCGAGGCAGATATGAAATGGGAAGGATGTTCCAAATAGGGGGATCAGCACACGCAAAGGCTTGGGGGAGGGTGTGTTCAAGGTAACTTGCAAAAGTTTGGTACTGCTACAGTGTAGCAGGAGCCAGCTGAAGCCCTTTAGCTCCACTTGCTGGGGGCCCTGGAGTTGGTTGCCTTTGAAGAGAGTTAAGTGGAAGAGGGTTGTAGATAGATGTACCAGATTGGTTGGTGTGGAGGGCTGCTTTACTTATGGCCAGATTACATGTGCTTCTGGCAGCCAGATGGGGGGATTAGAAAGATTGGATGCCAGGACCTCTGGAGTAGCTTCCTCCTCACCAGACGACCCCTTGCTTCTACCCTTGCCCCCTAGTCTGTTTGCACAGAGCCCAAAGGATCCTGTTGAGTCCTAACTCAGGTCGCAGCCCTGCTCAGCTCAGAAAGCTCTCTTGGCTCCCCTGACTCAGAGCAAAAGCCAGAGTCCTTACCTTGGGCCAGAATCCCCGACTCGGTCTGGCCCCCACCCCGTCTCTGGCCTTGCCTTCCATCACTCTGCACTTCCGCCAGTCTTCACCATGGTGATGTGGCCACTCACGGCCTACCCATATCTTCTCTCCACAGAAATGTGAGAGCTTCTTGCCGCCAGAGTTCCGCTCTTTTGCTGTAGATCCGCAGATCACCTCACTGGACGTGTTACAGCATATCCTCATCCGAGCCTTTGACCTGAATGGGTGAGTTGGGGGTCCTAGAGACCAGCCAGTGGACCACTTACCTCAACAGTGATTATCTGGCTTTTGCTTTTGTTTGTTTATTTGATAGGGTTTATGGTTGTGTATATTTCTTTTCTTTTTTTTGATACCGGGAATCGAACTCAGGACCTTGTGCTTGCCAGGCAGGCACTTATGCCACTGAGCTAGATCCCTGGCCCTATATTTCTTTTTTTGTTTGTTTTTGAGACAAGTTCTTGCTATGTAGTTCAGGCTGGCCTTGAGCTCATGGCAGTCCTCCTGCCTCAGCCTCTTGAGTGCTGAGAGTACAGGCATATGCTAACATGCCCAGCTTGTTTCCATTTCTATTACAAAAATCCCACAGTGAAAAATGATCTGTCTACCTACCTATCTATCTTGGGGTATGTGGGAAAGTCTAGTCATAGGGTAAGTGCCTCCCAGGGGTATTGCTGGGCTAGTGTGTTCTTTTTAAACTTTCAGTGGATATGTGTAAAATGCCGTTCAGAAGTTTTACAAGTTTACAACTTCCTTAGCAGCAAACAAAATGTATGTTTCCCTCCTGCCCTCACAAATAGTAGCTACTATGAAACATTACAAAATTTGCCAAACTGATAGCTGAAAATTAGTTTCTCTTGGGGGCAGATGTGATGGTTATTTTGTGGTAATGGTTGTTTTGAAGGACACATGGTAAGACTTTTTTTTATGGTAACAAATTTAATCAGTACAGAATTGATGGGTATTTAGGGTGTTTCTGTGGTAATTATCAGACAGCATACTTCAGACAGCATAGTTGCACAAGAATAACTCAAGAATAAACTTTTAGTTGTTATTTGAGTTTTGGGCATAAACATTTTTGTTGTGAAAGTTAACAAACATACACGTTGCTTTATTTTTTTTATGTAGTAGGAAGGCTGCTTTCTTTCCACTTCTATCCCTCAACTACATTGTTCCCATCCCCAGAGGGGACCAACATTTTACCAGTTTTCAATGTGCCCTCCAGATTTAAGCAGGTGTGTATCTGTTTCTGTGTTTGTGTAACAAACTGGATATAAATGACCTGACCTTGGACTGCCCACAATCCTTAGCAATAGTACCCAGCAGATAGTAGGAAGTTGCCTTCAGTATCTTCCATATTACCTCCCTTGTTGTGGAAACTGTCCCTGACACTTCCGGGGCGCTAGAGGCCTGAGAGCTCCCTTAACCCTCTGCCTAGGAAGAAGAACTTCGGCATCAGCTACCTGGCCCGGGACCGGCTAGGACAGGAAGCTTACCTGTCCCTCCTGTCTGACTGGGACCTCAGCATAGCTTTCACCACTGCCTCCAAGCCTTACCTGCAGTTGCGTGTGGACATTCGGCCCTCAGAAGACAGTGAGTATGCAGTGCCCTCGGGCGTTGCTCTGGGAGCCACCTTTTTCCCCTTGGGTGACTCTATACCTCCCAATACTCTTCCTTCATAGGCTGGGCAGCAAGGTATCCAGATTGTGGCTTAGCTACTGGGCTGCAGTTTCTTCACCTATAAAGTAGAGATTGTGGTCTCTTGTTGCTGAGAAAATACCTGAGATCTGCAGTTTAGAGAAGAGTTTTATTTTGTCTCACGTTTCAGAAGCTTTAGTCCTTTATAGTCAGTGGCATAGTGGAAAGGCCTGGGCAGAGGAACGCTGCTCCATCATGTTGGCCAGGAAGCAGTGAAGGGAGGAACCAGGGAGGAAGATCTGCTCTCCCAGATGAGGCGCTCTCAGTGACCCGCCTCTTCTCACCAGTCCCCACCTCACAACACCAGACCAGTTGTGGCACCCATAATCCAAGCACCTTCTGCAAGCCTCAGCGTCTAAGCATGTGAAGCTTTGCGGGGACATCCAGCTATAAACCGTAACGTGAATCCCAGCACTCAGGAGGCTGAGGCAGGAGGACTGCCAAGAGTTCAAGGCCAGCCTGGGTTACATAGTAAGTTCAAGGCCAGCCTGAACTATATAGCCAGGCCCTGTCTCAAAAAAACAAACAGAGAAAAAAACACCGCAAATCCCATTGGTATTTTAGGGCTATTTGGAGGATCAAATATGGAAAGTCATATGAACACCTGGAACTGCATAGCTGCATAGTGAATTATCAGAAAGTATTAGGTCTAATAATAGTTATACTGTATGGCTGGGCGTGGTGGTGCACACCTGTAAACCTGTAATCCCAGCACTCAGGAGGCTGAGGCAGGAGGATCACTGTGAGTTTGAGAGCAGCCTGGGCTACAAAATGAGCTCAAGGCCAGCCTCAACTGCATAGTGAGACCCTGTCTCAAAAAGACAAAAGCAAAATAATTGTACTATACTATAATAGCATATAACCTAGTAAGATACAATTATATAATGCAGTGTGAAGTTGTAGCTATAGTCTTATACAATTAGATTATAATGATATCTAAATATCCCAATGATAATCATGATAATGGTAGTAGTATTTACTCATTTGCTCATTTGTTTGCACTCTTGCTCACTTATTCATTTGTTCCCTTGATTTATCAGCCATTTTCTCTTTTCTCGTTTTTGTTTATCCACATTTACCTTTGCTGGTTAGTGTGAACACACAAAAGAATTAAGACATGGTAGCAAAACTTTGATTATGGACCATACATTAGGTAGAAATAATATTCTAGTGTAATCCTAGCATGTAGGAGGCTCAGTCAGGAGGATCATGAGTTCAAGGCCAGCCTGGACTATGTAGCAAGAACTGGTCTCCAAAAGAGAAAACAGACACAACAAAAATGGATATGGTGGTGCATACCAATAATCTGAGAGGCTGAAGCAAGAAGATCCCAAGTTTGACCCCAGCCTGAGCAACTTCATGACTGCAAGATCCTGTCTCAGAAAAATAAAAAGGGCTGGGAACATTTCTCGTGCAGAGGGCTTGGGTTTAATCCGTAGTACTACAAATAACAGTAATAAAATTTTAGCGGCCGAGTGTGGTGGCGTATGCCTGTAATCCCAGCACTCAGGAGGCTGAGGCAGGAAGATTGCTGCAGGTTCGGGACCAGCCTGGGCTACATGGCAAGACCCTGTCTGAAAAACAACAAAAAATGATAAAATTTTAAACAATAGTACTCTGTCAGTGTTAAATTTCCTAATTGTGTATCTTTGTGTTACTCTAACAGAGTACTATAGCTTCGGTGATTATAAAGAATAAAAATTTATTTCTCACAGTTCTGGAGGCTGGGAAGTCCAAGGTCAAGGCACTGAGAAGTTGAGTGTCTGGTGAGAGCCTTCTTGCTGTATCCTCACATGGTAGAAGGAACAGAAGTGTGCAAAAAGGGTATGGTAGTGCACCCTTGTAATCCAGCACTCTGAGAGGCTGAGGCAGGAGGATCGCTGCAAGTTCAAGGCTATCCCAGGCTACATAGTGAGTTCAAGGACAGCCTGAACTACATAGCAAGACCCTGGGTCAAAAAAAAAAAGAAAAGGGATAAATACTGTGTCTTCATGTTGCAGAAAAGCAGAAGAGTGAACTCATGTCAAGCTCTTTTATTTTTATTTATTCACTTACTATTTTTTTAGACAGAGTCTCATTGTGTATCCCATGTTGGCCTTAAAGTGACTGTGTAGCCCAGGACTTGAACTTCTGATGCTCCTGCCTCCAGCCTCCCAAAGTACTGGGATCATAGGCATGTACCACCATGCCTGCCCCTCTAGCTCTTTTAAATAAGGGTCCTGATCCCACCCCTGAGGGTTCTATACATTAATCATCTCTTAGTGAAACTACCTCTTAATTAAGGTTGGGTATTCCTTATCTGAAATGCTTAGGGCCAGAAATATTTCAGATTTCAGTTTTTTAGATTTCATAGTATTTTTAGAGACTTTCAGTTGAGCATCTCTAATTTAAAAACCCCATTTGGGTGTGGTGGTGCATACCTATAATCTCAGCACTCAGGAGACTGAAGCAGGAGGATTGCTGTGAGTTCAAGGCCAAGCTGAACTACATAGTAAGACCCTGTCTCAAAAAAGGCAGGGGGAGTGCCCACCATCACAGTGAATGTAAAGTTTCCATATAAAGATTTTGGGGCACATATTTGAACTGTAGCAGTGTGGTAATGGTGTGATGGCTCTTGGAGGAAAATATCTTTGTTCTTAGGGAAAACACAGTATGAAGTAAAGTGTTGTGATGTCTGAGGATAATTTGACAAAATGTTTATATGTAGAGGAAGTAAGATAGAGCAAATGAGGTAACAAAATGGTAAAGAGATCTAGATGAGGAATATATGGATGTCAATATGATCTTTTTGTTTAACTATTGAAATTTATTTTTAAATTTTGTAGACTGGGGCTGGGGATTTAGCTCAGCGGCAAAGCGCCTGCCTGGCAAGCGCAAGGTCGTGAGTTTGGTTCCCGGTACCGGAGAAAAACCAAAAAAAATAAAAATAAAAAAAAAATAAATTTTGTAGACATCATTCTTTTTCCTTTATAGACTTCACTTATTTATGTATTTATTTATTTATTTTTGGTACCGGGAATCAAACTGGGCAGGCACTGTGCCAATGAGCTAAATCCCCAGTCCCTCATTTATTATTATTACTATTTTTTTTATTTCAAAGAGAAAAGAACAAAAACAACTTAGCAAACACAAAGACATAAACAAAACAACACAAAAACAATAAAAATGATACAAGCCAGGCATGGTGGCACATGCCTGTAATCCCAGCACTCAGGAGGCCGAGGCAGGAGGATCGCTGCCAGTTCAAGGCCAGCCTGGGCTACAAAGTGAGCTCAAGACCAACCTGAACTACATACAAGACCCTGTCTCAAAAAAAGAAAAGACAAAACAGTAAAAACAATACAGAGTTTTCAAACAAGGTGATAGGAAATTAACAATGGTTATTGTATTACATGTTGTTATCTTCAAATTGGTTACTCATATAATCAAATAGTATTTATTATATTTATTATTAAGAGTAACAAAACTTAAAAAAAGAGTAACAAAACATCTAATGATGTTAAAGAGCCCATGACAATGAGGGATTTTCCAACTGGTTTCATCTAATGGAAGATGAGGCTTAGTATCAGTGAACAAAAAAGTGTCTTTTTACTGTTTAAATCTGAAGATCTGAGCCCTGAAGGCTTCTGTATTGGGGCAGGGGTCCTGTATTTTTGTTAATTCACTAATTTCTCCTTAGTGTTCCAAATTAGGAGAGGAATAGAACAAGATTGCTCTAAGGAATTGGTTCACAAAATTGAAGCATCTGGGTAGCTTTTAAACAGATTCTCAAGCTGCAACCCAGACCTACTGAATTAGAATTCTTCAAGGATTAGTTTTTTTTTTTTCAGTCTCTTTCTCTTCCTCCTTCTCTTTCTCTGTTTCTCTTCTCTAAATCTTTCCAGGTAATTCTGGTGGGTATTCACTGCCTGCTTTTGGATCATCAATGCTTGCTATTTATTTTGTTTATTTTTAAATTTTTTTTTTATTAGTACATGTTTGTAGTACATGATTACACTCATTGTGGGGAGTTGGTACATCACATCTCAGTTCTTTTTTCTTTCCCCTCCACACCTGTTTTGTTTTTTAATTTTTTTCTCTTTTTTTGCCAGCATCAGATTTATTTCTTTATTTTATAAGACTTTAGCAAGTTATTATCATAAATACAGGTTAACAGCCAGACAGACAGGCCAAAAAATACATAAAACTAGGTTTGAAATTTTTTGAAATAAAAGTTACAGAATGGAAGATACGGTTCCCAGCCTCAGGATGCGTATGTGTCCATGGGGATAATGGAAGCATTTTATTGACATTAGAGTAACATTAGGAATAGCTAATAGGGACTTAACACTGGGGCCACTACCTGCACACATTCTGCAGTGATTTATCAAAATAATCGTACAGGGTAGGTGCCTTAGTTACTTTCTTATTGCTGGGACAAAACACTTGACACCCTCAAGTTAGAGGAGGAAAGGTTTATTTTAGCTCAAAGTTAGTAGAGGTTTCAGTCCGTGCTTGCCTTCTCCGAGGCAGGGCAGCATGGCAGAGAAGCAATAGTCCATGTCATGGCTCACAAGAAGCAACAGACTTCCTTCTGCTTTCCCTTTTATTCCATACAGGCTGCTGTATGTTTGTTGCCACTCACAGCCAGGGTAGGTATTCTGTTTTCAGTAAATGCATTAAGCCACACCCAGAACCCTGCCAATCCAGTTAAGTGACTAATCTAGTGTTGCACCCATGATCTAGTATCACGTACACTAAAGTCACTCCCATAAAGCCCCACCTATGAGCACATGCCGCTTTGGGAGGGACATCTAGATACAAGCCATAACATCAGGGGTTGTTGTCCCTAATTTATAGATAAGGAAATGGCGGTGAAGAGAGGAGACAGGACCTGTCCAGGTTACACAGACAGT